CAACAGTTCAGGAGGGCGGCTAGTTGCGGTCGACTCCGACAATGTATGTTCACATCACGTTAGCAAATTTTCCGAGGAAGCTGTTCCCGCTTTGGAAACACAACGAGCACGCAGAGAGATGTTGATGAAATTCGTCGCTATTCTCGTTCAGTCGTTCAGTTACACCCTCTTCCCAGGAAGGCCATCACGTCCTTTTGTGGCGAACCTCGCGGGAAGAGCTGCGTCAGACCTGCGAAGATGGGTGGATGTGGGCATAGCGTGAAGTTCCACCCCTTCACTCGTGAGCCTGCTATCACTCGAAGAAAGGCGCGTCGCCGCAGCCCGAGGGGGCTGCCTTCGAGCGTCGACGACAGATGAACATCCCCTAGGGAAGAGCATAAACGAATGCAAACCGAACGAGAAGCATCGTCGAGAGACGCACAGCGCAGGGCATCTGATTTGTCCGACGAAGTCTGGCACCTGTGGCTAGCGCCCGAAGAAAAACAAAGAGCCACCCAGGGTGGGTCAGCCGCTGCGGGGCGCAGAGAAAAGTCGCCTGTGCACCTCGGCACGCCCGGGTTCATAGTTGACACAGGCTGTGGACACCACCTCATTGCAGAATGGTTCATCCGAGCTGCAGGCGCAATGGGTGTGATCAAACGATTGGAAGACTCGATGACCCTGAATGCTGCCAGAGGTTCCTCACGGGCCATCGGTTCAGTTTGCGTCGCATGCCCCAACTTCAGGGGTGGGGAATTCGAAGCGCGGGCCACGCCGGAAACGCCGGCTGTGATCTCGGTAGGAGAGCGGCGCATGGATCACGGCCTCAGTTTCGTCTGGCCAGCAGGACAGCGACGCTACTTATTTCTGCCCAACGCGCAGAGTAGACCTGATCGCTGAGGGCAGGATACCATACTTGAACCTATCTGGCAGAGAGGCGCTGGGTCAGTGGATGCGCGCGGCTGCCTCGGGAAATCCTGATGCTCCCGAGCGGTGGTGTCGCCCGACGTCAGGCGCCGCGACATTTCTGGATGACGTGGAATCCGCGCGAGGTCCTCCGCCCCACTCGATTCAGAGTCGCGTGACAATAGACCTGCACACACGAGATGATTGGTAACCATGGCTACGCTGATGGAAGGACAACAACGGCCGAGTACTCATTTCCGTCCGCCACAGACTCCATGGATACAGTCACTTATTTCTACTATTCACCTCGCGCGGGTCGTGAATGCGGTTGGGACAAAACGCCAGCAGGCATCGTGAGTTTTGCAAATTCCTCGTCTGCTCTCAATCACGACACAGTCGTTGGTAGTGCGAAATCACGCCACGGCAGAGCCGGGTTTGTGCGACTATGTTTGAGAACCTTTGTTTGCACGGGGTCTCTGGGGCCATGCCCTGCAGCGCAGATCGCGGGCTGAATTCCATTAACATAGCCGCCGCGCCCAGGCGCAGCGCGGATGCCAATGAGGGCTCGGGAGAGGGTGACTTCGTCGATGTCAACGTACCTCCCGAATTAGACCCAGAAGATGCTGAGGCTCAGGCGCCAGTCTCTGCGACGGAGCAACTCAGAGAGAGCGCCGCCCCCCTCTCACACTTGCGAGCTCACACTCCTAAGAATCCTTTTTGTCCGGTGTGTAACTGGGCGAAGACCATGCGGCGCCAACAAAGGAAAGCGCATCATAAAGGGCTCAGGGTACCGAGCCCATGCGCGAATCCCACAACGTTCGGACGCCTGACCACCATGGGTCACTGGCTTGCGATGGATGACCTATCGCGGGGGCTCCACGACGAGACCGCGCGCGTGACTTTTCGCGACCGGGCGGCAGATTTTATAGCAGCGCAGGGTGTACACGACAAATCAGCGATTCACTATGTAACTCTTTGATCGCCCTCAAAGCCCCAGGAGAAAAGTTAGAATACTGTTATGCTGGCGGTGCTAGAGGACTTGCAAGAGCGTGCATCGAACTTGAGATTGCGCCCGACCCTACCATCCCTGGTAACATGAAGCTTATGGCTGTTGCTGAACGATGCAATGGGCTTGTTCAGATGGGGACTCGCGCGCTGCTGATGCAAGCAGGCCTATGCTGTCCGATATTTTTGTCTATGCTATAACGCAAGGATCCCCGACGACGGCGGGTCGTCATGGAGGCGCAGATTCGGACATGAGTTCGCAGCCTCATTTCTTCTATTGGATTCCCTCGTTCGATTTATGCCTCCACCCGAATCTAGATTTCGGATTGCCAAAACAGGCGGGGCGATGGCAACGGGGATTTACCTCGGGTATGTGTACAAAGAGGGGGGCATGGTTGGACCTGAGAGCTATGTGGCACCATTGCGACAACTCGACGATCTGAATATGAAAAACCAGGCGGGCGCCAGCTGGCAAGCGCCCGGTCATCGAGAAGTCAGACCAAGTCTATAGCAATATTTTGGACGGCGCTGCACCGGACCAAGCGCCTAAATTTCCTATGCGTGAAGCATATGAGGTTGCACAGACAAAGGGCAAAAACGTAGTTATTCCCCCGGGTGGTGCCCCTGGCGGCCCAGCCAGTCAGAGAACCAGATTAGGCTCACAAGCGACGCAGTCGATCGGTGACGGGGATCCAAGTACATCAAAACCACAGCCTCCGGTACGAGGCGAGGCCGCACCACCGCCAAGAAATGACGACGACTCCGATGACGATGGTCTGGGGGGAGTCATTGTGGATGACGTGCCTGTGGTACCTGATGGTAGGGGCCCCCAACGTGATTCGAGGCCCGATGATGACACGAAACAGAAGCTCGGTCTTGCTCATGCGGAATACAGGTTTGATCGTCAGTCTAATTTCTCGGTGGCACAGCCACGGTCGAGAGTGCCTGGGCCGTGGCAACTTCTTGCCCGAACCACGCAGAACTTAGACACGATGGAATATTTCGAAGATCGACGCATTGTTGCAGGGTTGGGTAGCAATGGACTATCGGGAAAACTGCCGTTAAAAGGCAGACGGAACACCTGCAGCATTAGAGTCGTTTTGCATTGCGATCTTGACTACGTACCCGTGACAAGAGTCTGGGTCACAGACCCAGCGACCCGCGTTATGGAGCACAAAGATTCAGGAAATTACCTAGCTCCTCCAATCCAGGAGTTCACCGAAGTCGATGGTTCATCATGAGCCACGCGGAACGGAGGAAAGCGGTAGAACAATAATATTCAGATTCCAGAAAACAAAGGTTTCTTCGGGGTCGTTGACCCGGGACCTTGCATTGCCCTCCTTCGCGATATTGGAATCGACGCAGCCGATTTCCAGAACGCGCAACACGGCAACGCAGGAACTGAGCATCCACGGGGCAACGTCCACTCAGGCGCCGAAGCCCGCAGAATAAAGAAAGGATATTCGACTGTGCCAGATGAAACCGAGGTAGACTGGCGCGCGCCCCTGCGCCCTACGGGAGCCGCAGAGGAACGCTCCACCGACGCAGGCCCTGGGAGTGACCAGGGCACCTCCGACGATGAAGAAGAATGGTGGAAACAGACTTGGCATGGTGGGACCACCCTGCGAGATGGGGTTCCCCCCGACACAGTCGGAGAGGACATCGCACACCCACAACCTCCCAAGCCTAACGGGAACAGCCTGACTTCGAGTCCAGCGGCCGCCGCTTCGCGACGTAGCGTTCACCATGTGCCATTTCAGTCAGCTGAATCATCTCCTCCACCACATCGCGAATAAGAAAGGTTGGATACAGACTACCTGTGCAATCCGTTCACCGATGATACTCGAATCGTAGAACACACGTATGATTTACCAGCTGAGGCTAGACCGCCGCGGAGTATAGCGGCCGTGGCACGACCCGAGTCCAAGGCCGAAGTTGCGGTGAACCCAGATGCCCGCAAAGCGCTGCAGACCGAATGGGATCGGTTAAGAAGCACCGGCGCTTGGGATGAGTCAGGCGCGATGGAATGCAGCGATGTTGTTCGACGGCGAAAGTGGCAAACGACCAATTTCGGACGCTTGTTTGCCATTTTGGTAGAGAAGAGTTCAGAAACCCCGATCGGGCACAACAGCCGCAAATATAAAGGCTGAGTCGTCTTTGATGGATCAGACGTTAGAGATCATAATAGAGACGCAGCTTTGGTTCAGGATCTGTCTAGCAGCCCAGCCGCCACGCAGGCCAGCAAGGCGAGATACTCATGGCCTATTCGAGGGGAATGACATTCAACAGACGGATGCCAAACAGGCTTACACTCAGTCCAAATTAGGGGGAAGTCCACCATGGATTTTCCTGCCACGAGATGCATGGCCGTCTGCTTGGAGAGACATGCGCAATCCTGTGTGTCCTTTGATTCTTTCACTTTACTGACATCCTGACTCTGGTGGATACTGGGAACAGCATTATGAGGGACACGTGATCTCCAAAGGATTCATTAAATGCAGTATTTGGCGTAGTTGCCACTTCCATGCGAAACTGCGCTTGCCCCTTTTTATTTATGTTGGCGATTTCAAATTGTCTGGACCAAAAGCAGACCTCGAAACAGGGTGGCGCCTCTTAAAAGAAGCCCGAAGGCTGCCCTAAAGGCACCGAGAACGACCCGCCAACTCATGTTTGGCGATATTTGGGTTGTGAACATCATTCGTCTGACCGTAGCCATTTTGGCTCAAGTCCGTAGCGATCCGGCTCAGGACTTGGCTTTTCTGGCAAGGGGGAGAGACGGCCCCCGCTAGGATCCCCTCGTGTGCCTGGTTAGACGAGTGTTTCGGCATTTGTGAGCTCCTGCTGGAGCACTCCCCAAGACGATTGCACTAAGTGTCCGCTTGGCTCGCCCATGGCGCCTGTTCCCAGTTGGCATGGTGCGTGGAACGCTGTCAACGGGAAGGGGCCTTCAGCTCCTCCGCCGCCGCCGCCGCCGCCGCCACCTCGAGCTTCTACCTCTCGGTGCACGGCGTGTGGATGCAGGAAGAACGCGCTCTCGGCTCAGTGGTGCAAGCGTTGCCATACACCTCTGCCTAGTGTGCCTGCTGCTGTCCCTTTTGTGCAATATGGCCATGGCGGTCAGTGGTTCCCTCCTCCTGGCTACTTCCTGGGCAAGGGAGCGCGCGGCTACTCTGACCCCTGGATCGGCCACGGCAAGGGTGGAGGGCAGCCTGGCGGGCAGCCAGCTGGAAGTGGCGCTGGCCAGGGTGCCCCTCAAGCTGGAGCTGGCGACGGTAAAGGTGGTGGAGGTGCACATGGCAAGGGCCCCCCGCTGCCCGCTGGCCGCGCCCCAGCCCTGCCCAAGGACGAGGCCGCGCAGCTTGCGACGTTGTCAGACAAAGCGGGCGACGCGGCCAGCGCCAAGAAGCACAGAGATGTGGCAAAACATTTGGCTGCACTGGAGCACCCTCCAGAAGTGGAAGTTCATCCAGTCTTGCAATCTCAGCGCGCGGCGGTGCGCCGCGCCGAGAAAAAGTGCGAAGGCGACCTGCAGAGGCTGCTCCAGCTGCAGAAGCAGGTTCAAGAGCCACAAGACAGAGTTCGTGAATCCAGGAAGGCGCCGGACGATGCGGATGCGGAGTGCCAGAAGGCGGTGGCCAAGCTCAGCGAATCGACCAAGGCTTCGACGAGTGTTGCTGCGGGCCCTGTCATGACGTGCATCAAGATGGCCGTCATTGTCAGTGGCAACGTGGACTTCACGTAGTTCATCATGCTGGACGTCTTGGAGGCTTCTGATGAGGCAGATGTTGAGGTATCGACAGGATCGCGAGGAGCTCGCCAAGCTTTTGGCCGACTTCGCCTCGTCTGTCAATGAGATGGCGGCGAAGCTGTTCGCGGGTGCGCTGGAGCAGTCCAAGGCGGTCATCGAGCAGCACCGGGCCCACATCGCTCGGATGGCTGCGAAGAGGCGACGAGGCAACGGCGGTGAGGCAGCCGTTGGTAGTGGCCCGAGTGCGCCGAGAGCGGCGCCCGGGCCACAGGCGGCTGCCATCCCTGTGCCTGGTGTCGGCGAAGTCGAGCTCATCGAAGGGGCTCCTGCTGCCGCGCCTTCGGAGCCGACTGGGCCCGTTGCCTCAGGTGGCGTTCGCGATAGGATCGCCTCGCTACTTGCTTCAGGTGCCCCCCCCCTCGGCAGGCGCCTGAGGTGGGGTATGTTTGTTTTTCGTTGGGCCCCGGAGTAGGCCCTCGTGCTTGCAGCATGTTCGATTCTTTATTTTTTTGTTGCTTCTCGGGTTTCCCCGATCGGGCCCAAGATTCGACATGCTGGAACTCGTCTTTTCAATTCCGTGTTGGGTCTCCCTGGAGCCGCCAGCACTAGGTCCACCAAGTTTTGGTTTGCCCCGCTTACTCCTGGTGAAGTTATGGTGCCCCCCCGTCCTCTGGGGCCCTCGCAGGCCACCTGCAGTGCTCCTCAGGCTCCTCAGGCTCCTGACCCACGACCTCTTCCTGCTGCTCCTCCAGACTCGGACATGTCTGGTCTGGGTGATATCTCGTTGGAAGTGGCCACCATCAATTGCAATCGCTGGGGCACCCTCAAGGGTTTCCTGGGGGGCTCCTCAGCCCATGTGGCTATTGCGCAAGAAGACCACCTTCGTTCTCGTGAAGAACTTGCTCAGGCCTCAGAGCTCTCTGTGGCCCCCTGGCCTTCCTGGTGAAGGAGTCGGAGTCAGCTCGGGCTTCTCCGTGCTGGTCAGGGACGGCCTCGGCTTGTATAGGCATCCTGACACGCTCGTGCTGGTGGAGGGCCGTGCTATCGCAGTCTAGATCCACGTGCCAGGGTGCACCTCGTTCTGTGTGGTGTCGGTCTACCTGCACCACTCGCAAGGACTCCCGGACGGGAGTATGGAAATCCCTCGCATTGTTGGATTGCTTTTGGATCCTCTCAGCTGCGATTTCATGCTTGCTGGGACTTCAATTTTTCCCCTGGGGTCCTCGACCAAACGAACTTCTCGGAGCTTTTGGAAGGTGAAGTTGTTACTGCCAGTGGCCACGCTCACCTCCCCAGCTCGCCCCCCCTGATGTTTTTTGGTGTTGTTTGGCCGTGTTGTTATGTCCAAGAGTTTGAGTGAGCAAGTGCCTCACAGAAGTCCGAGTAGTCGCCAAGGCTGGTCTGTCGCCGCATCTTCCTTTGGCGGCCCGTTTCCATCAGTCTCTGGCTCCCCTTAGGGCCCCCGCCTTCCGCCGACCTCTTGATCTCCCCCCGCCCCCCCTTTGGGCCTGCCCCGCGCCCTGGGGATTGGAGTTCGGCTCTCTTCATGGCGGGGCGCGCTCGTCGAGCCGTGTTGGAGGGCAACTTGGTCGCCGCGCAGGACCTCTTGACCCTTGGCTACCGTCTCTGGGCGAACTCTTCTGAGGCTGACTTAGCGAGGGTCCCGGGGATTGACCTCAAAGCCAGGGGGGTCCGAGGCAAGCGCCCTTCAATGCACTGGAAGTTTGTTATTCGACCTGGGGGGGGGGGGGGCAGACACAAATCCTAGCAGTAGGTCCATCGTGTGGCTGGCAGCGCAGCTCCGCGCGCTCAGGTGCTACATGGGTGGGGGCGGCTCGGCTCTCTCGTCGCCTCCTGGTCGCAGCATCTTGCAGGGCTTGCAGCCGCCTCCTGACGACCTGGCCGCCAAGGTGCACTCGGACTGGCAGCATCTGTTTTCCGCTGGCGCAGCTCGACGCTCTGGAACATTGTTTTAGTCAGGACCCGCCTGAGCCCTGCGAGATCGGGGACTCGGGCTTAGATATTTGGATGAACGGCTTGGAGGTTGGTCACCGTGATGGCCTCAGTCAGCTGCTCGGTGAGGTTGATCAGGCCTGCGAGTCAGCACAGGCCACTGCCGCGTCCAAGTCCAGGGACGCTTGGAAGGACTGGCTGAGAGAGGGCCTGGGCTCGGCGGGGGAACGATCTCATCTTGTCTCCAAGGAAACCCAGCCTTGGACCCCTTCCACGACCCTCTCCTCCAACGGTTCCATCATGGCTGACCCCCTGGCCCTGCTCAGGGCCGAGTCTGACAAGTTTGTTAGAATTTGGGAATGGTGACGGCGTTGGTCCACGTCCTGGCGAGCTTCTGGAGCCCAGCCCCCTTCCCGAGCCCCGTGAGATTCGTAGGCTGTCCATGCAATACAAGGTGGCCAGTGCCGTCAGTGTTGATGGTTTCCACTGCAGGCGCTACTCGCTTCTGTGTGACACTGCGCTGCACGCCGTGGCTCTGTGGCTGTTTGTCATGGAGGCCACGGGCTCCCTTCCGTTCCAGCTCCCCTTGGGTTCTCATTGCCTTTCTGGCAGAGGAGGCTGGAGGGTTTCGTCTGATTGGGGTCTTTCCGAGCTGGCATCAGGTCTGGGGCAAAGCTCGCAGGGTCCAAGCTCAGCTTTGGGAGGGCCGCAATCCCATGGACTTCTGGGCTGCGGGGGCCAATCGGGGGGCCAGCGACGTTGTTTGGAGGCAGGCCTGCAAGGCCGAGTCGGGTTCCAGCAGGGGCCCGGTTTCGGCGTTTATTTTTTGGTGACTTCCGCAAGTATTACGAGCAAATCGATTTGAGCTTCTCATGGTCTAAGTGCAAGCAATGTTGTTCCCCCCTCCACATTGCCAGGCTTGCCATTCGGGCCGATGCGTCTGCCAGGTTCTTGACTCTCGGCGGGTTCGTTGACCGGCCCTTCCTCGTCGCCCGCGGCCTCATTGTGGGCTGCTCTTTTGCGACCGCCTTCATCCGTGTGTTCGCTATGGAGAGCTTCGACAGCATCCCCAGGGAGTTTGGCGCATATTTTGACGCTTACATAGACGACTCAAGCCTTAGCTGCATTGATACTGCTAAGGTGGTTGTCAAGCGGCTCGTGGCGGGAGCTCGTGCTCTTCACAGGGCTGTCACTGAAGTTTTGGTGTGCGCTCTTGCCATGGACAACGTAGGTATGGTCTCCAGCTCGAAAGAGGTTTCGTCGACGTTGTTATCTTCCCTGGGTCCTTTGGTAGGCTCTGGTGTGGACAGGTTCTACACCGCTGGTAGATCTTTGCGCGCCCCTGGCAGAGGCCGCGCGGCCAAGCTCAAGTATCGCATTGCTGCCTCTCTGCGCAAGACCCGCAGGCTTGGGGGACATGCGGGCGTTCTAGGTCGGAAGTGCGATCGGCTTCTCGCTGCGGGCCCCTTGGCCGGCGCCGCCTACGGGTCGGACGTCTTCGGTCTTGCGGATCGGGAGCTCTTGGACCTCCGGCGGGCCAGCGTGTCTCGCGTCAAACCCCGCGCCCAAAGTAGGTCGCTGTCAGCTTTGTGTCTTCTGGAGGGCGACCCCTCCTGGAGGGCCAGTACCGCGCCGATCATCCGTTGGGCAAAAAAGGTTTGGCTGTGCCACGCTCGGGCCTTCCCTTGGTGTTTGAGCTGGGAAGAGCTTCGTGGGGGGTGGAATTGTTTTTTTCTTTGAGGACGATTGGTCTTGGGCCAAGGTCAGGGGCCCAAGCAGGTTTGTTTCGGGCCCAGGCCACCAACGCATTCTGGACTGCAAGAGACGCAGCCGCCGCTGGCTATGAAGCGTCGGATTTGTGTAGCCTGCGCGGGAAGGAGCGGGACACGCTCTTCCACAGGCTCTACATCTGTTGGTGTCTCCAGGTCGCGCGAGACGAGGTGTACCCCCAGTGGGCCCAAGAGGCCGCGAAGGACCAGGATAACCCTGCCTGCGAACCAGAGCTGTTCCTTTTGGAGCCTTCAAGCACCCTGGAGACACGGCGCCGCCTCCTCTCTCCGAAGGTGGAGTTAGTTTGGGGTGGCACGTGGCGGAGTTGCCTGCGCCTGAGCACTCGCTGCCGGGTCTGCCTCAGGCTCCAGGGGGCGGTGTTTGGGGGCACCTCTTCATGGGCGGTTCCTGTAGCCGTAGCACCAATCGTGAGGTGTCTCGAGCGGGTCTGGGCGGTGGTCATGGTTTCTGAGGCTGGTGAGCGCCTGGGCATCCTCAAGGGGTCTCTTTGGGCCCCTTGGCCTCAGACCCCTCAGGGCTCGGAGTTCGGGGCTTTGGCCTGGGCTGGCCTGTGCGCCGAATGCCCCTCCGCGTGCTACTCCGATTGCGCGAATGTAGTTTTGTGCCGCGCCCTGGGGGCCAGTGGCGCCATGAGTGCGAAGCGACAGCACTCAGGGCAGGCGTTCCAAGCCCGCCATCATTTCGGGAGTTTTTGCACTGCGTTCCACAAGGTGGATGCGCACAAGGATGTGGATGAGGTTGGTTTGAGTTCGGAGGGGAGATTTCTTCGCCTCGGCAACTTTTACACCGGCATTGCGGCCGAGGAGGGGGCTCGGCAACACCAGACCTTGTCACCTGTGGAGGCGTCGGAGTTAGACCGACGCATCCACACTGCTCGTGCTGCTCTTACTGCTGGCTCTCAGCTGCTGCCCCTCTGGCCTCGCCATGAGCTTCGAGGGGCGCCGAGGGTGCAGCCGCCGCCTGTCGAGAAGCCGCCGTCTTTGCAAGTCACCCGCGCTTGGATCCGTGTGGGCTCGTTTTGTCAGTGTAGAGTTTGCCTCATCGGGTCCAGGTCCTCGGCCCCGCCTGTGTCGGGAGACTGCCGTGGCCGTTCAAGGTTGGATCGGGGCGAGCTCCTCAGTCGTCGGCCGCCGTGTCATCGCCTCTCCTTGCAGTGACAACCGTCACTTGCTCCTGTGCATGAGTTGCAAGTCATGCAGCAGCGGTGCTCGGGTCATGAAGCTGGGAAAGGCCTGCTCCAACCCGATCGC